ATATAGTATATATTTGTTTTACCTTAAGCAATTAAATTTTACAGAATTGTCTGCAACTTTTCACTTTTAAACTCCAACAAGACAGAAGTTAAAAAAAAAGTATGACATCAGACAACACTTATGGCATTACAGTGACCCCCCAGTGTCAGTCACTTTTACTATTTGCCAATTAATTTATATTTTAATCAGGTTTCCAGAAAAGTGTCCTTCAAATCATATTTAGCCTGGGTTGGCTGCCTGCATGTTTAGGGTCACTTTTGAAGATCTACTGACAACTTACAATTACTAATGATCAAGACTGTCATCCATCCATCCATCCATTATCTTTACCCACTTCTTCCTTTTTGGGTCGTGGGGGTCACTGGTGCCCATATCCAGCAGTTACTGTGTAAGAGGCGGGGTACACCCTGGACGGGTCTACAGTCCATCACAGGGACACATAGAGACAAATGAGACAAAACAACCATTCACACTGTCACTCACACCTAGGGACGAGTTATCAATCAGCCCAACATGCATGTTTTTGGTCTGTGGGAGGAAACCGGAGTATCCGGAGAAAACCCACGCATGCACAGAGAGAACATGCAAACTCCACCCAGTAAAACCCACGGCCTGTATTTGAACCAGCGACCTTCTCACTGAGAGGCAACAGCTCTACCAGCTGAGCCACCGTGCACCATTTTTCTAAATGTAGCCTTTGTTTGATTTTCTTTTGTTTGTTGTGTTTTTAGTTTTGATTTGATTATATCATTTGTTTTTCATTCTCACTTTTTTTTAATTCTGTAAAGCACTGAGATTGAAAAAGGGGGCTGTAGAAACATTATTTTAAATTAATTGATTGATTAAATGAAAGCTTAGATTATTGTTTACTGCCAAAAAAATCACCCGTATCACCAGATCAATCAGTGCACATTTAAAGATAAAAAAAAAAGATCTATACAATTTATAACTTGTTTTATACTATAGTTAAGTTTAAACATTGCAAAGACATAAAGTAAAAAAAAAAAATAATAATTCTTCCCTAATGGTTAATGTGTTCTTAAACTAAAAATGTATACAAAGAATTAGTAAAAGTCTGATAAAGGGCGTTCGATAAAAACAGCTGAAGAGACTGAAAACAGGTCAACGATGACGACGTCCATGGAAGATCTGTTTGAGATGGAGAAGCCTGATCGTTCAGCTCCACACTCAGATCTGTTGGGTAAACTGTGCAAGGTGTTTTGTTTACAATGAGTGTGGACCCACATTTCAGACATGACAAAAACTACACAAGTAAACTCCTTCAAGCTACACCATGTCATACAGCTCAGGATGTGCTATGCAATGTAAACCTTCATTTCTTTCTCTTGATCAGGATTTTGGGATGTGTTTGTTTGAGATGACGTCAAGCTGACATGAAACGTATCCCGGCTGATAAAGCCTGTAATGAAACAGTGAAATAAAGTCCAAACCTTCTCCACATTGATGGCGTCACGTGCTGATGTTTCCACGTAGCGCATCCCGTATGCCCTCGCCAGCTTCTCCGCCTCGTGCTGGCTCACCTGACGCTGGGCCTCCAGGTCGCACTTGTGGCCCACGAGCAGGAAGACGATGCTGTGCGGCTGGACGTGGCTCCGTGCCTCCTCCAGCCAGCTGTGGACGTTTTGGAAGGAGCAGCGGTTTGTGATGTCGAAGAGCAACAGGCCGCCCACTGAGTTACGGTAGTAAGCTCTGGTGATAGACCTGGAAGGACATGATGCTCCTGTGAATAACTAGTTTTTTTTTTTTTAAAGTTCATTTGGCACAAGAAGGAAGCTATGGCAGCAAATGAAGAGAAAAGCTTTCATATTTTGATTTAAAAGTATGAAACTGTCAGAGAATGTTTGTTTACGGCCATTCAACCCTGAACACGTCTGATCTCGGAGCTAAGCAGAGTCGGTTCTGGTTAGTACTTGGATGGGAGACTGCCTGGGAATTCCAGGTGCCGTAAGCTTAAAGTCCGATTGGATGGATCAGTGGAAGTGCGTCGGGCTACCATGCAAGAAACGTTGGTTCGAGTCCAAGCTTTGTACTCAACTGTGAATGAAGAGTAAACGGATGCTTTAGATTAGAAAACGTGTTTCAGCAGTGGTTAATTCCTATTTGGGGTTGAGATGGTGTAGAGGTAGGGCAGCCGACTTGGGACCAGAAATTCGCAGTTCGACTCCCAGCCATGCCCACATGCCGTGGTTTCCCTGAGCAAAACACCTAATCCCTAATGACTTCCCGGGCCCTTACATACAGTAGCTGCCCACTGCTCCACCTGGGTGTATCTCACATGTAATGGGTTAAGGATGCTTCTTTTCCTATGATTGACAACAAGAAGCCCAAGACGTAATCAAAACCGTCTCCCAAGACACTGTCTTATTTCTGCCCATGAACCATATGTTTGGGTTAACAGAGTGTGCAGGGTGAGAAGGCTGCAGCTGAAGCAAGGACACCTCCTGAGCTAAGGAGTACCATGCTAACATTGCTACCAGGAGTACCATTTAGTACCATGTTACTAAGAGAACCTCACCGCCAACAGAACCACTTTGCTAACAGTACCATGCTGCTAACAGTACCATGCTGCTAACAGTACCATGCTGCTAACAGTATAATGCTGCTAACAGTATCATGCTGCTAACAGTACCATGCTGCTGCTAACAGTATCATG